GTGCTGGGGCAGCCAAGGTGCAGTGGAATAGCAGCAGCTGCACAGGAGTGTGTGTGGCCATATTAGACCTTGTTCAGTCCCTCTGGGGCAACCAGTGGAACAGGGGAACTGTAGTGGCTAGATCAGTCCTAGTTCAGCACCCTGGAGCAGCCAGGGGGTAGGGGAATGGCAGTGGTAGCGCGGGGTATGCAAGCGAGCAGATCAGTCCTAGTTCAGCCCCACCAGAGTAGCTGGGGGAAGCGGGGGACTACTTCACCATCACCCTTTGGACACGTGCTGCACTAGCAAGCTGATCTGGGCCCTCCCAGTGTGGGACCCCAGAGTGAGGAACTCCTCCACCTCTGTCCGAGGGATGTATGTGGCTCTAGCAAACAGTTCTGGGCCCCCCAAGAGTGGTAGACCCCTCCACCACCACCTGCAGGGCAAGCATGGCTCTAGCAAGCAGTTCTAGGCCCACCCAGCTTGGGAGCTTGGAGCGGGGAACACCTCCCCGGCCCCCGTGGGTTGTGTGTGTCTCTTGCAGGCTGTTTTGAGTCTACCTGGAATGGAGGGTTCCTCTGCCTCTGCCTGTGGTATACCTGCGGCACTAGCGAGCGGTTCTGGGCCTGCCCAGAGCAGGAGCCTGCTGCCTGTGAGGCGTGCAACTCTAGCAAGCAGTTTTGGGGCCCGCCCCACTCCGTGACGTCAAAAGGACCCACTTGGCAACTGGGTTAGTCTGGGAAGTTTAATACCTCCTTCCCCACCTTATACCCAGTCACTCATAGTCCTCCAGGTCTGTGACCCTATTCACTCCAGTAGGCCACTGTTCCCAGGTTTACCTGGCAAAATCAGCCAGAAATCTGAGTTCAGCAGGGGGGCCTTGCGTGTTTAAATTAGGCTTCTGTCCAGCTAGATTTCTCTGTAAATCAGAGGATGCATTCAGCTTTACACTCAGGTGTCAAGTCTAGCCTCTGCCTGCCCACTGCCTTTGTCTCAGCCGCATTAGCCCCCTGAGGGCTGGTGCTCCACCCAAGAAAGTTATGTGCGCCCTGCCTGTGGCTGCTGTCCAGAACCTCTGCTTGCCCAAAGGGATGGGGCTGGAATAGTGTCAGCTTGCCGCTAGGCCACCGTTGCTGCACCGTTGCTGCACTGGGGACCCTGAACTGATTCTCCTCTCCTCACGCCCGCACCACAGTCAGCACAGAACAGCACCAGCCCTTTCCCCCTCCACTTCTCCCAAGAAGATGCCCAAGAATCAGGATTCCATAGGTAATAAACCTCCAGACCTCGGAGGTGGTGGGTGGAGATTCCTCGGAGTTCAATGTTGCAGGTGGGGAATATATACAGATTTATACAGTTTTACAGTTTTATGCCTGGCTGGAGGGTGCCATGGCACGCCAGCAGGGTTAGGAGGTCCAGTTTTTAGGGGGTCTCTCCCGTGGGATAGAGTGGGAGGAAGTTTGAACTCTGCTCGCTTGTTTGCATGGAGCAAACTGCGAGCCCTTGTTGTGGGGGAGGAGACTCCTGTCCACTTGGTCGTGGATTTTGTACCTTTTGGTTGTATTTTGGGGGTCGCAGCTTGCCTCAGGAAGGTTGAAGTACATTCTTCAATCTTCTCTCTTGGCTCTGCTCCAAACCATCAGCTCGTTTGCTAAACTTCTGTCCTTTCAGCCTCCTTCTGGACCGGAGCTTCTGTAAAAAGCTGGCTACAGTCTGCCATCTTGGCTCCGCTTCCCCCAGTACTTTATTTTTAATTAATATTAATTTATTTTTCTCTCTTTCCTCCTTCCTTTCTTGTCTTGGGTTATACTTGAGACTTACCAAGGAGATTTTCCACCATTCAAGTTGTCTAGCCAGTGCTTTAATTCTCAGTCCTTTCAGTGGATAATATGGTTTGTATGTGGAGGGGAAGGTGGTGAGAGGGAGATTTCGAAAAGGGGGCTTGTCACTTAGCTAACACATTATGTAATAGAAAAGATATAAAGAAATTATTCACTAGTTTGCTGGTTTAAGAATAATTCAAGTCTCTGCATAGGACTTCAAATTAACTGGTGGAATTATCTTTACCTACAGTTGTATTTTTAATTGTTTTTCTTTTATTGATGTTAAAAGAAAAACACAATCTTTCATTCAGGAAAAGAGAATAAAGTGTTGTTCTTGTTTTCTTTATCATTTTTGGCACTGTTTTTTGACAGCAATTCATGGGAATAACATAGATAGCCTTCTTATGCTTGCACCAGACTCAATATCCCACCATACGAAAGGTTCAATTCTAATTTGATCACATAGAGAAAATGAAAATGTTAATATGGGTGAATATAACTCTTTCTCCCTAGAACTCTATGTGTTCCCTGCATTAATTCCAGAAATCAGCAGTATCATAGAGTCATTAATCTTAGAGGAAGCAACATAAACCAGGCGGGTTGGCTCCTAACATCAGCTAGACTAGACCCACCAAAGGACAGTTAATTAGTTGCCCAGCGTGTCTACAAACACTGTTCAACATTAACTTTGGCTCTTGCCAAATTCAGTTCCAGAACAAAGAATGGCTGCTTGTGACACGTCAGGCTTTAGCATATTTGTGTTACCTACTTATAACATTTTAAAGATTAGAAGAAAATTCTAGAATTCTGAGGACCTGAGGCCATTTATCATATAACTTCCACAATGACACCCTCATTCCTAAAAGATTGAACACAGAGCATTGCCAAGGGCTCTCAAGTTTTCAAGTCTGGTCTCATTGAGACAATTTCCTCCTGAGCTCCTCCTCCCATGAACAATAATAATTCTCTGAGTGCTCATTATGGGTCAAGAACTTTACATGTTGTGTAAAGGTCATTGTTACAAAGACCTTACAAGGAGAGGCCCAGCATTGTGCTTATTTTACATATGAGAAAACTGAGGCAGCAAACATAATACAAGGTGGCCATAAAATATAAATATAAATTTTAAATAGTTTAATTTTACTTGTTTATTTACTATATTTTTTCTCTTTCCCAGGGGTCTTGAAGAGCTTTTGTAATATACAATACCATGAAAAATAAAACACAATACTATGGAAAATAAAACAGGTTTATTTATTTATTTATTTTTAATTTCAGATTAATATGAGGGTACAAATGATTAGGCTACAATCCTTGCATTTGCTGGGTAAGGTCCCTATTGTAGTTGTGTCCTGCACCTAGGAGGTGTACCATATACCCTTACATTGTGCCAATTAGGTGGGGCACACCAATTCCCCTCCCATTTCCCACTACTTCCTTTTCCTTTCCTTCTTTTCCTTCTCCTCCCTCCCCTCAACTTGAATTAAATTGAGTTTTTCTCTTGTGAGGGTGTGTATTAGTTTGTCCACTAGCCTCATATTAGTATTGAGTACACTGGATGCTTACTTTTCCACTCTTGTGATGCTTTACTAAACAGAATGTTCTCTAACTTTATTCAGGTTTAAAATCAATTTAAAATGCAATTTAAAATCATCAATTTGAAATAGTTGTCTATTTTTAAATTGCACACAAACTTTATGGCCACCCTGTATAAACTGCCCAAATTCACAGTTAGTAAGTGGTATGGCATCGTCCAAGCTTAGGCAGTCAGGCAACTGGACTGCCTCTCCCTCAGTGGAAACACTTTTAATAAGCAATTAATTTAAGAAAATGTTGGGATTAACTCCCAAATTTACAAGTAGATAAGTAAAGGCAACTCTATTTGATTTTTGTTTCATTAAAATCTGAGCTCAGCCACCCAAAATGACATTGAGAAACACACAAATGCTCTCCAAACCACAGTCTGAGCAACTGTGTACACACTCCACTGGACTGTTTTGACAAAAGCAGCCTAACACTTCAGCTTATTTTTTTGATATGCTAAATTTAATGTAACAAAGTAATTAAGAAAAGGGGAGAAGTTCAACTCTCTGTTTGGTTCTATTGATTAGAAAATTGAAGGGTTGCCTAAATTATTTGACAAGTTCCTTTCTGTGGTGAGTGTGTCTCTGTGTTTTCATAGAACTTGCCTGTCAGTGCAGTCAAAACTGTGTACAATGTAGACACAGCTTTAAAAATGGTCTGACAACTGATTAAAGTCAATGTTTTTAAGTCCATTGAATTTCAGAGGCACTGTATAAATATACATTTTAATTTTACTTGTTTATTCACTATATTTTTTCTCTTTCCCAGGGGTCTTGAAGAGCTTTGTAATATACAATACCATGAAAAATAAAACACTTAGGACTAAAACAAAAGAGTTCCTCTAGAGCAGTAGTCCTCAAATTGGGATCCCCAACCGTTAGTGTCAGCATCTCCTGGAAGCTTGGTAGAATGAATCATCCTCAGCCCACCCCAGACCTAGTGAATCAGACTCTTGAGGTAGGGGTTCAACAATCTGTAATTACAGGCCCTTCAAAGGTGCTCTCTCAACTATCTGTTCTATGTTCCTAAAGAAACAGAATGAGGAGACATACCAAGTACCTCAAATAAACCCTAGACTTTTAGTGAGTACTGTAACAGAAGGTCCTGAGGACTTTCTATTGTGTTGTAGTTAATATTATGATGTGTCTTAAGTAAAGTTCTGTTATGTGGTTTTAACTCCCTCTTTTAATCTTTGGCAATTCAAGCGTTGAGTTTAGGCCAGAGGGATCTGGCCAAACAGGCAATGGCAGGTGGATAAAGGTGGATCACCAGAGAGCAATGTAATTAAATCTAGCAGAATACCAGTTACCCTAGTCAGTTTTACTAATAAATTGGATCAGCGATGCAGTGAGCTAATTGTTTACTTAAGAATTAGGTATAACAAACCCAAAGCACTCGAATCCACTGAATAGAAGTTATTTTGCTCAAGGAGCATAGAAATGCCCAAACAGCCTTACAAGATGGAGAGAGTTGTTGCTGCCAAATGAAACATATCTTTAGAAGAAAGGAATGGCTTGTCTCTGTCATCCCTGTCTATGATGTATTGATGGGGAAACTGGCAGAGCTTCCCAGAATCAGATTTATTAGTTATGAGCATTTCTGCTTCTACCCTAGCATGGAAGGTTCCATCGTGCATCTGCCCCAGATTATAGCTCTAAAGAAGAAATACAAGGCTTACCTCTACATAGATGAAGCTCACAGTATTGGGGCCGTGGGCCCAACTGGCCGGGGTGTCACAGATTTCTTTGGAATAGACCCTGGCGAAGTTGACGTGTTAATGGGCACATTCACCAAAAGCTTTGGAGCATCAGGAGGCTACATAGCTGGAAGGAAGGTAAGAGAGGGGCTCCTTGTGTCTGAACATCCTGGGGACACAGTCTACAAGTTTCTCTGAATTCTGTTCAGTGAAAATTAGCACTTCTGTTCAGTTTTCTTCACTTTAACTGATCACTGTGGCCTTGCTGCAATGGGTCTCAGCCAGGTTGGGCCCAGAATGCAAAGGAGCTCACCAACCTCCAACAGTGAAGAGGAGCACATTGCAACAAAATAACAACACTGGTGGTGCACATGAGATACAGAATACAAAGGAGAGGGACAATTAACTTCCCAGGGTAATATCTGGGACACCATTTAGAATGAATGTCAGTCTTGTAGACCAGCAGTCCATTATCTTTTTTGGCACTAGGGACCAGTTTCATGGAAGATAATTTTTGCATAGATCGGGGTGGGAGAGTGAGGATGGTTTGGAGATGATTCAAGTACATTGCATTTTTGTGCCCTTTATTCCTGTGATTATGACATTGTAATATATAATAAAATAATTATACAACTCATCATAGTGCAGAATCCATGGGAGCCCTGGGCTTGTTTTCCTGCAAATAGATGGTCCCAGCACTAGCATCACCCCCTCAGCACCACATAAGATCATCAGGTATTAGATTTTTAAGGAGTGTGCAACCTAGATTTCCTCACATGCATAGTTTATAGTAGGATTCACACTCTTATGAGAATCTAATGCTATAGCTGATCTGACAGAAGGTGGAGCTCAGGAGGTGACACATTGGGAGTGGCTGTAAGTACAAATGAAGCTTTGTTCCTCCCACTGCTGCTCACTTCCTGCTATACACCTGGTTTCTAATAAGCCATGCACCAGCTCAGGGTTTAGGGACTGCAGTTACAGACAAATGATAGGGAGTTATTTTGCAAAGAGGAAATAATGGATGTCAAACCATGAAAGTGATAAGCAGATATTACAAGATCTATAAGTAGTCTGGTTTTCGTGCTATGAAAAACACAAAGCAGATAATAGCCACTGTAGGCAAAAGTTAGATATTAAGGAGATTGACCCTATGCTACAAGTTGTGGATTTCAACGTTTTTATCAAAATGATGCCAAGATGATTGATGTACTTTTAAGATATTTTTTCTGAGAAATAACTTTTTCCCACAATGTTAGCTAGACCATGGGCCAAATCTCATTCTCTAATATCTTTTCTGCTTGGCTTAAAAATTCAGATTTGCTGGGATTACACTAAGTAAGTGTTATCCCTGTTAGTCTAGTGCCAGTATTCCCAAGGGGGTTGTGAATGTAGAACAATAAATGTTTGACAGAAACTTAAAAGGAACAGGGAAAGGAAGGAGAAAAAGAAAATCAGATATACAAACTTGGGTTTTAGGTATAAAAGAGTCAGTTGTCTGCTCCGTTAGAGGACAGCCTTATCTAAACCCCGAGGGCTATCTCAGACAAATTCACATGTGTCCCACAGAGCCTGTGTAACAGTGATTTGGGCTCTGCTGAGGACGGCACAGCAGGCCTCCAAACAGTGCATGTAGGTGCCATCAACAAAACCCCCCAATTCCTCATCCATTGTTGTAAACAGGAGCAAGATGCTTCAGGTAAACCTGCTAGAAAAACCAAGGAGTGCACCAGAAAACAGTCTTGTCATTGAAAGCCTGTGATTTAAAACAACAGATTTAATTTTGGCTGCTCAACCTGCCTTGAGACATATAGATGCTTAAAATGTTCAGAGTTTTAAGTGGTCTTTACCTTTTAATAAGCACTTTTCTTCCAGGCTCAAAGCATTGTTTTTCATCCTCCTTTCACTGGCCTGTGGGAATTAGCTGGGTAATGCTAAAAAACATAGTGAATGCCCAGGATCTTAAAAAATTCAGCTAACTCTGGTAAAAGGTTAAATGTTCCCTTCCTAGAATGTCGAAGAAGCAGGGATCAGAGGGTCTCAAATGTATGAGCTCCCTCAACCCTGCTACACTGCTCTGTGACCTTATGGTTTTGTGATTACTTTAGCAGCAGCTCTGAGCTAAAATTGTTAACCAAGCGTAACTCTGTTTCCTGAACCAAAGACACCTGAATAAACGGAAGCAAGCAGATCCTCGAAATGTTGTCAAATTTGGTGGACGTCACTTTTTTCTCCTTGGAGTTACCTCATTTGATAACCACTTTAAGTAAAGACTCATGACTAGCTGAAGTAAGAGTTCACTATGGTCCTCTCCCCAACTCCTAGTCCTGAAGTCAGTTTCAGTATTTTAAAAGTGAAGATGATTTTGTCCACATAACTTCTGTGCATCTGGGATAGATACTGAGAAATTGTGAAAATTAATACTCTTTACATTAATCAGGATGCAGGAAAAAAGTATGCACATCTGTTCATTTTCTTGTCCTTTAAAATACTCATTCTGTGAGGGTTTGGATTCAGAGGGCTGCACCATCTGTTTATTCTCCTGTCTCCTCCTGTTCCATGTTCAGTGCACTGTTTCAATTTACCACTAGATGGCAGAAGAAATTAGCCATCAAATAGTGTTTGGCAGAGGCCCGTTAGCCTGAGATACACTACCCTAAAATAGCAAGATGCAAAACCTTGAAAACAGGACAGTTTCCAAGACCTGGAGAATGAGCAGAAGATAAGAAGGCAATTGAGAAAGTGCATGTATGTGCCTTGCCTGAAGATTGAAAAACCAGTCCAATACACACCTATCTGGAATGGTTTGAGTGAGACCATGATAGGTCCAGAAAAGCTGGTTCTCTTCCAACCTAACAGGCCCATGGTTCAATAGAACTTATATATCTGCTCCTCTGTATGCTTAATTTTAAAATTTATGTTAATTTCAAATTATAGTGGCTTCCATTTAAATCGTATTTTATTTCTCTGAAATTTGGATAATTGTATGTAGTATCTTCACTTTGAGTCATTTAAACTGTGCTTTTTAACTGAAAGGCATAAGATTGAGCAACACTCAAGATTCTTGTTTAAAAAAAATCTTTCTACTCATCTGTTTAAATAATTAGAGTACAGTTTTCAGAGTTTCATCATATATATATGTGTATGCATATGTATATATCTATATATTTCTATGTATTTACATCTCTTGGATATTTTAGTACATATGTCTTAATGGATACTATTTAACTTTAGTACATATGTCTTGCTGGGTATTACAAAATATCCAGAATTATAAACCAATGGATACAAGAGTAAGAAAATGAACCATAAAAAATGTTAAAGGGCATACACTCAGACTTGACATTTTTCTGAAACTCTAATTTCAGTTTCACAGTACTCAAGGGCTTCTTGGTACATACTGAGATTTTAAAATAATTGGTTGGATCCAAAAATACAGAAAAAGATAAAAACATCTGGCTTTTAACTCTCTTTTTAAATATGGATGTTAATAGTAATAGTATTAAATATCTAGGAGGTTCTAAAAATATCTGTGGAGTGGGCTGAGGTCAGAGTTTTATACATTAGCAACCAGATGACTCATATAAGAGAAAAATATTAGGAAAAATGGGTTTGGTGTGAAGATACTACCACAGAGAATAGAAGTTTTGTTTTGGCCCCCGCCTCCCTTCACAAAACATCCCACAAATTCACCTCTGCTAACTCCAGCTTACTGCCAGGCTATGACCTTCTCTTCCCACCACATGGCAACTGCTAAAAATGATCTCTCAAGAGCCAGCAAAATTTTTCTATTTTGCTAATTTTGAGTTTGAAGTTGCTAGAGATACACTAGGAACAGTCCAACTCAGAGAATTCTGTTCCTTCAAGACCTTCCCAGTGAAAGGTCAGGTAATTCTTCTTGCCACCTATCAGAGCTCCATGCTATCATTGGCTGCTTTGAAGAAAACCTGAGCTGATGGGGCTAGGTTTCTTATTTTTATTTATTTATTTATTTTTTATTTATCCAGTTGCTGAGAAGATGTGGTCAATACTGCAGACCTTCTATTTTTCTCCAGGCATAGATCCTGAGTCCTCTTGCATGCTTGATGCTAACCACTGGCTCCAGAGACTATGGAGACTTGCAAATGAATGAAGCAAAGGTAGCCCTCTTGACTGAATGGGCACAGAGCTAGAATTCTAAAGGAGGAAAGAGGGACAAGGCAGCCAAGCATTAGCCCCAGAACCCTGCATGCCAGCCCAGCTCTGCCCTGACACCAGGCCCTGACTGCATTTAATGGCCCTTTGAAGTAAATAGGGGTCAGAGAACGAGTACCAAGATGTTTGTTCTAAGAACCTCTTGTCTTATTTTCTCTCAAAATGCCTTAAACTCCAGGCCTATGAGTAAAGAAAATAATCAGGATTTTGAACGTACAAATGGACTTGGAAACCCCAGTATGAGGAGACCTCTAACTCACCCAGAAGGAAGATACAATCCAGACTTGCCTTGCAAAACACCAAAGCCAACTCTTAATTCATGGCGTCCAATGGGGAATGAGAGGAGGAAAATAGTAGCTAGGAATAAAGGCTTTCCTTGATACTCTCCAGAAGTTGCTCAAAGAGCCCCACCTTCTGAACCACGCTGGCAATTAACTCCCATTTAAAAACTTGGGCTTTGAGAGAAAGTGGACTCAGTCCAAAAAAAATAAGATTGTGGGCAAGACTGTCACAGCATTAAAAGGTAGTGATGCTGCATTGATGAGGTATTTATGTAAACTAAGAATGCACATGACCTCGACTTGGTAAAATTTCTAAATACGTGAAGAAAAATCAGGGCTTGAAAACATTGTGAAGAGTCCTTTTAGGGATCAAAGGGAGATTTATTTTGATTCCTTGTCTGATCTTTGTCAGCAAAGCCCCTCAAGTGAAGAGAATATTGCTATGCTTATTCCTAAGAATGTCGTCTAGCACTTCTATGTACTTCCATGACCCTCACCATCCTTCCCCAGTTTCTGAGAACACTTTCTTCTCCATGAGACCATCAGTATTTTTCTCCAGGCTCCTAAAACCCCACCAATATGGATTTTTAAAGAAGTATATAATTCCATCCCTGGTCTCAAAGAGGTTTTAGCTCCTTCTGGAGAAACAAGAGAGACAGACACGAAACATTTTGAGACTAATGCAACTTAGTATGTGATTTTAGTACTTTACAGGCTGGAATATATTGTAATTATTAACCCCAAAAGAGAGACAATCTCTGGATTAGGGAAAACACCACAGGGTAAGCAGAGTTGAGTTGGTCTCTATGCTCTCCTGGGCCCCTCACTTTGTGCATGCCAAGCTTGCTCTTCCAGAGAGAAGTTGAGAGAAGTAATACAGTGTGGTGCTGAGGGGAAGGATCCTGGGGTCAAATTCTTTAGGTCCAAATTTGTGAATAATTTTCTAAACCTTCATCTCTAAAATGAAGATAACTTCATAGTTATTATGAAGCTTAAATGAGTTAATATGTGCAAAGTTCTTAAAATGGAGCCTTAAACAGCCAATGAATATTAGCTATGGTGTCAGCTTCTTGTCCCACTATCTCTTCACAGACATTCAATCTGTCATCAACTCTCAGTACACACTTATTTAAAATGCCTCTCTTTTCCTTTTTTTCACTCCTACTGTCACACACACTATCACCCCCCACTCCCCACATGAAGAATGAAGGGAGAACTGGACTGAAAAATCTTTGGTTTGATGTCTGGGT